GGAGGAGGAGGAGGAACCTCATCCTCACCCTCGCCAACAAGCGCACGCACCTTCTTCTATATACAGAAACTCCCGATCAACCGCAGAGCGGCCGGCTAGCAATATTAATAATAGGAACAATACTAATACTAATACTAACCATAAGAATAATAATACTAATGCGAGTAATAAGAAGATTACTCATAATAATAATAATAATAGCAAGAATAATAATACTACGAATAATAAGAATAATAATACTACGAACAAAAAGAAGAATACGAAGACTAAGACTAATAATACTAATAAGAATAATAAGAATAATAAGACGAATAATAATAATAAGAAGAAGAATACGAATAATAATAATACTAATAATGAGAAGAATAAGAATAATAATAAGATCAATAATAAGAATAATAAGAAGAATACTAATACGAATAATAATAAGAATAATACTCATAATAATAATACGAAGAATAATAATAAGAATAATAATAATCAGAATAATATTAATAATAATACGAATAATAATAATGATAATAACAATAATGATGATAATAATAATAAGAATAATAATAAGAAGACTCAAATAATATAATCTACAAATAATAATAATAATAATAAGGGGAAGGAGGAGGAGGAGAGGAGAGGAGGAGGAGGAGGAGTAGGAGGAGGAGGAGGAGGAGGTGAGGGGAAGGGGAGGAGGATAGGAGGATTAGTGAGTAGGGAAGTAGTGTAGTAGTATATTATTAAGTAGTAGTAGGTAGTAGTAGGTAGTAGTAGTAGTAGTAGTAGTAGTAAGAATAGTCTAAGTGTAGTAGTAAGTATAGTGTAGTAGTAGTATTAGTAGTGATGAGTAGTAATTAGTAAGTAGTAGTAGTAGTAGTATAGTATATAGTAGTAGTATAGTATTATAGTTGGTAGTGGTTGTTAGTCTGGAGTGCGAGGGGGGGAGGAGTAGGAGTAGGAGGAGGAGGAGGAGTGGGAGTAGGAGGAGGAGGAGGAGGAGAGGCTGGAGGCTTGGCAGCGTTTCGTTTGGGGGCTGGCAGGGTAGACGGCCAGGGGTGGCCAGCGCCTCGATCGGTGGGGTCACGATCTCGCCCCCGGAGCAGCGCAGCGCGATGCCGTCTCATCGCCCCACGGTCGCCGCCTCTTGGGCGCGTTCCTGGACCTCTAACAGTGTGATTGTCTTGGTGCGCGGTCTCAGAGGTCCCTACCCCTTGCCAGGCATCCAGCTCTGATGGCCCGTGGGCCCGCCACGGGCCCCAGAGGCCGAGGTCGAGGAGAGCCGCAAGGATGGAGCGGATCCTATTGTCGGAGATTGCGAAGGCCTTGCGGCCCGTGCCGCCGACCCTGCAGGGAGACGACGACAGAAGGGCGGCGGCCTCGACGACGACGACGATGCTGACATGGGCCAGAGTCCTGAAGGATGCTTCTTGGGGTCTCCTCGGACGGCTCTTGGGGGGCCTCTGGGGATGACTTGTGGGGCCTCTTGGGAGCCACTTGGGGGCCTCTTGGGAGCCTCTTGGAGGTCTCTTCGGGGGCTTCCAAGGGACTTCGTGTCAGTCTCTTGGGGCCTCTTGGGAACCCCGTAGGGCCTCCTGGGAGCCTCTCGGGGCCGAGGGCTCGAAATGTCCGTTCGGGTCCCCCTGTCAGGGCACGCTCTTGGCGCCGTCTTGGTGGCCTCTTGGGCCGTCTTTGAGGCGTTTTGGGATGTCTTGGGGTCCTCTTGGGATGTTCTTGGAGGCCGCTTTGGCCTTCTTGGGGCGATCTTGGGAGCCTCTTGCGCCGTCTTGGAGCGGCGGGAAGTGGAAAAGGCGAAAACGCCCAAATCTTGAAACAACCAGCGGGAAATTAGTGAATTTGGCCTCTTTGGGCCTTTTCGGGAGTGCTCTTGGACGCTTTTTGGGGCGTCCTTGAGGCCTCCTGGAAAGTCTGGAGGGCGTGAGGTGTTGTGGACCGATCGTTTGGCGATTGGGGACTCTCTTGGACCGTCTCGGGGGCCTCTTGGGGCACTCTTGGCCTGTCTTGGCACTTTCTGAGGCCCTGGGACCCCCATGGGGGGATGCACATCTGAACTGGGCTCCCCCCCCAGATTTTTCCCATTACCCGCCCCCCCCAGCGGGGGAGGGATCAGAGGTAGCGAGGGGCTTCCCTTCGACTCGATCGCGACATTGCTACTTCTTTCTCTCGCTGATGAGCTCGAAGAGCAGGGTGCAGGGGAAGGGGACGACGGAGACGACGGCTGACTGAGACGACGTTTCGAACAGACAAGCCCTTCGCACACCCCGACAGGGTCGGCGGATTTAGTGTTGGCTATCCGTTGTGGCTTGTTGGTGGTCTTGACGTTTTGCGTCCGGGCTACCAGCGAGACGCGACGGATCCGTTTGAGCACCAGACTCGAACGGTCGGGTACCGGGTCGTACAAACAAGATTTTGAGTCCCACTAAGTGGGGCCCAGCATGCGGGTACGCGGGGGGTCTCCATGGGCATTTTGTTCAAGGTATTTTACTGCGCCCGCTCTGCACTGCTATACAGTCTTGTGAAACATAGTCCGCTTGCTGAAAATCTACGTTTTCGGTCATCGCTCCACATCCTAGTGCCCCCCCTCCCCCGGCGGGGAAGGAGCAAAGGGAAGGGGATCTCCTTCGAGCGAACCACTACGTTTTTTGAATTTCTTTCGGGCTGACGACGACGAGGATGACGACGACGACGATGACAACGACGACGATGACGACGACGACGACGACGACGTCGACGCGACGACGACGACGACGACAGCGTCTTCCACGCACCGACAGGGTCGGTCGATGTGAGGCGACTGATACCTAGGTCGCCCGCGGGGGCGCGAAGATAAACGTGCTTCGCGCGTCGCGGTCTAGGCCAGAGCGGCTGCCTTTCTCCACGGTGGGGCGGCGCGATGGCGCGAAGATGCGTAAGCGCGCGTCGCGCATCGCAGGGTGCGATGCGCGCAGTTAGGTGGCCTAGAGTACGACCAGGCCAATCAACTGACTTTCCCACCTCCCTCCAGCGCTGCGCATTTGGGCTCAAGTCACAAGGTGCCGCTCCATCGATCATTCTGGCTGCCAGCCTGTCGCACTGGCTGTTCATGGAGAGGGGACTTTCTTCGATCCAGGCGGTCGTGGAGGACTACGTCTCAAGCGTCGCGCCCAGTTCGTCGGCCTTTGGTTTTTTGACCCTGGTGCCATGGAGTTCGCAGGATCAGCCAGTCAACGTGCTGGCCCCCGAGGCAGGCAAGAGAGAGATTAGCCAGAGCAACATCACCCAGATGGTGGAGCAGCACGAGGCCGTGGTGATCCCGTCCGTGTACGAGACAAACAAGGAGAAGATGGGCTTGACGCGTCTCTTGGACTATCTGACGGCCGCGCACCCTGACGCGTACGTTGTCTTGGTGCAGCTGCCAGATCGGTTGGGTGCCGAGCTGACCAGGGGCTACCTCTGTACCTTGATGGCGCGGCAGGATCTGCTCCACAGCTTTGGGGCCAGCGGCGTGCTGATGGAGCTGGTGGGTGACCCAGAGGGCTTGCAGCAGAAGGTACGTCTGGAGCTTACAGAGAACACCGCGATCCAGCTGCGTGTGCAACGCTAAGAGAGCACCGTGACAGCGGGAGTGTTTTCCTTTACCGAGCTCCAGACCATCGAGGACGAACACGATCGTCTTCTCTGGGAGACCATTCCGAAGTCGCTAATGCCCGGTTTCCCTGCTCCAGACAAGCGCTTGCTGGAATTTGGGGACAGGGTTTGGGAGTTCCGGTTGGTGCAGCAGTACGCAAATCACGAGCACGTCTTTTTGGCGGTTAACGGGCAGCACGAGAATGTCGTGATCAAGACGCGCAATAAGCGGAGCGTCACCGCTGCCGAGGAGGTGGAGAGCGTCTACCAGGAGTTCAACCTCCTGACACACACCCTCGACCACCCACACATCATCCGCTGCGTAAGCATGCTGCACAGCCAGTCCCATGTGCACATGGTGCTCCAGTATGGCGGCGACTTCTGCATGGAGCAGGTGCTGTCGATTCAACCAGGCCGCCAGTTGTCCAGGGACGACGCCGTGGACTGCACCATCCAGATCGCGAGTGCTCTGTCCCATTGCCACGCCAATGATGTTACTCATGGGCAGGTGTCGCTGAGGCATGTGTCGGTAGAGATGGCGAGGAATCGGCTCGTTTGCCGCCTGATAGATTCTTAGGCTTACGCCACACCGCCGACCCCTTGTTTATGCCAATCCTGGGGGTAGTAGAAGCTGCGAAGGGGTGAAAAGGCGAGTGATATTTGTTTGGTGTCTGTTCGCCGCCACCGCCAGAGGGTCTCGGGCAGTTCCGCGGGGAGGTCCGAGCGGACAGCGACACTGCGAGTTTTGGAGCCCCTCGGGGGCCGTTTCGGAGCCTCTGGGGTGCTTTTTGGGGGTTCCTTGGGGCGTCTGGGCGGCCTCGTGAGGGCCTCTGGGGGCCTCTTGGGGCACTCTTGGGGCCCCCTGGGGCTCCTGGGGGCAGAAAGCTAGAGTTTCAACATGTTTGGTCGCCCTCTTGGGCCCCTCGTGGTGCCGTCTTGGAGCCCTCTTGGGCCGTCTTGGGGACCTCTTGGGCCGTGTTGGGGCCGTCTTGGGCCGTCTGGAGGCCGTCTTGGGGGCCTCTTGTGCCATCTTGGGGCTGTCTTTGGGGCCTCTTTGGCCGTCTTGGAGCGTCGGGAAGCCGAAAAGGCGGAAAAGCAAAACACATCGAAAAACACTATGGAAAATCAACAATTTTAGACTGTTGGGGCCCTCTTGGGAGGCTTGTTTGGGACCTCGGGGGCCGTCTTGGAGACCTCTTGGCCCGTCTTGGGGCCATCTTGGGCGTCTTGGAGGGGTCGTTTGGCGTCTCGGGGCCTTCGTGGGCCGTCTTGGAGGCCTCTTGGGGGCTTCTTGGCCCGTCTTGAGGCCCTCTTGGGCCCGGAAACGTGAACCGCTCGTCCCGGCCGTGGTGCGCTCGTCCCGGCCCCCTCCCCGCCTCCAAATCGGCCCTCTTGGGCCGTCTTGAGGACCTCTTGGGCCGTCTTGGGGCCGTCCTGGGCCGTCTGGAGGCCGTCTTGGGGGCCTCTTGGGCCATCTTGGGGCTATCTTTTGGGCCTCGTCGCGCGTCTTGGAGCGTTGGGAAGCCGGAAAGGCGGAAAAGCAAAAAACGTCGAAGAACACTATGGAAAATCAACAATTTTAGACTCTTGGGGCCTTCTTGGGAGACTTGTATGGGACCTCGGGGGCCGCCTTGGAGACCTCTTGGCCCGCCTTGGGGCCATCTTGGGCGTCTTGGAGGGGTCGTTTGGCGTCTCGGAGCCTTCGTGGGCCGTCTTGGAGGCCTCTTGGAGCCTTCTTGGCCCGTCTTGAGGCCCTCTTGGGCCCGGAAAAGCCCTGGAACCGCTCGTCCCGGCCGTGCTGCGCTCGTCCCGGCCCCCTCCCCCCTCCAAATCGGCCCTCTTGGGCCGTCTTGGGGACCTCTTGGGCCGTCTTGGGGCCGTCTTGGGCCGTCTGGAGGCCGTCTTGGGGGCCTCTTGGGCCATCTTGGGGCTATCTTTGGGGCCTCTTTGCCCGTCTTGGAGCGTCGGGAAGCCAGAAAGGCGGAAAAGCAAAACACATCGAAAAACACTATGGAAAATCAGCATTTTTTGACTCTTTGGGCCCTCTTGGGAGGCTCATTTGGGACCTCAGGGGCCGTCTTGGAGACCTCTTGGCCCGTCTTGGGCCCGTCTTGGGGCCATCGTGGGCGTCTTGGAGCGGTCGTTTGGCTTCTCGGAGCCTTCGTGGGCCGTCTTGGAGGCCTCTTGGGGGCTTCGTGGCCCGTCTTGAAGCCCTCTTGGGCCAGGAAAAGCCCCGTGGAGCGCTCGTCCCGGACCCCCCCCCCCCCTCCAAATCGACCGGACCGGGCTCCCGGGGGAGGGGTTTGGGGAGGGGGAAGCATCTCACACGCCGATGATGCCGCCTGATAGATTTCAGCATGGCAGCCCACGTTCCAGACTCCAGCATGCGGGAGACCATGTGTGGTTCTCTCCCGTGCGTCGCTCCGGAGACAGCGCTGGGGGAGCCGTACTGGCCCAAGCCGGCAGATTGTTGGAGCTTAGGGGTGGTGCTCTTGGAGACCGCTTGCGGGCAAGGCACGCTCGAGCTCTCGGTGCCATGGCGCCGTTGCGCATACCTCGCGTAGGCCATGCGGGAGATACTCGAGTTCTTCGCCCAAGCGGGCTCCCATGCTCAGGCGATGGCGAGCATGGGTGGCGTGTACGACGGAGCGGTGTTGGCGTGCCTGGAGGCGCTGCTGAGGCCCGAGCCCCTCCGCAGGGCGAGCGCCTCCGACGCGGTAGACGTGCTGTCAGCCAGGCGCGTGAAGGCCGCTCGTTGATGGGTGGTGCTCGGGGAACACATAATAACATAAACATCAGCTTTCAGAGGTCTGCGCAGATTTCTCTGCTCGGCGCTGGAGATTCCTGGCGGCGCCTCTCGCGCCGCGCCTGGCGTGCTCCGCGCGCCAAGGAGAGGGGTCAGGCGCCGATCCAAGAAATCCGCGCAGACCTCTAAAGTCTTTGTTTATGCCCTATTTGTTCCCCGAGATGCGCCCACTTCTGGAACTTTGTAAAGGTGCCCCTCAAAAAAGGGCGCAGTTGCATCCATCTGCACAATTTTTCCATGAATGCAGCTCATTCGAGCTCCAGGCAGAATGGATACGTTTGCCTAAACACTACACGTTCTGGTGTTCGCAGGTTTTCGTGCTTCGTTGTTTGCCTGAGCGTCTTCATTGAGTGACTCGGTCACAGTTTCTTCGTCCCTCTTCTTTTGGACTGCAGCCGCGGTGCTCCAGACGTCTGGGTGGACAGCGTCTCTACAGCCCGCGACGTCGAAGATACGTGTGTTCGCCTTGCGAGGTATTGCCGACGCTGATTTTGTGATTTCAGTTTTCTTTGTCAGTGGCATCCAGTATTCTATCTCGCTGACTCCCACATGTGAGTGCGCTTTGCAGCAGCTCTCCTCACCTTTGGTCGCAGTGGCAATCAGCAGGGTCAGCTTTGATCTGGGGGTCCTTTTCATCCGGTCCACTCGGGTGTCCCAAATCGAGACTACTCGATCCAGCGCAGCCAATTAGCAGCCACTTTTTTATGTCGTGCGCCTCTGCGCTTGGCGATCTTTGCAGGCGTTCTGTCTGCCCCCCCCCCCCCAAGAGTTCTCTGAATGCGTGCCCATGGCAGGCATCGCCAGAAGCACCATGGGGAGGGAAGCAAATCCACTCCCCGAGTAGATGACATCCTTGCGCGGCAGAAAGCCTTACATAGTTTGTACACAGTTGCGATAGGGGGCCACGATGTGGGGCCAGGTTGGGGGATCGGGATGTGGTAGGGATAGGGACAGGGAGTGCCACACACTAAGATCATGTGTCATGCAAATGCTACTACAATTGCTATGTGTCATGCAAATGCGAAAGCTATTACGACTGCCAACATACTTGCCTTCGGCCCATCCCGCCCTCGTGCTTGGGTTGTGGGTCAGAGTTCTCAGGGATGCTTCTTGGGGTCTCATCGGAGCGCTCTCGGGCGCCTCTTGTGGGTAGCTCTGGGCCTTCTTGGGAGCCTCTTGGGGGCCTCTTGGGGTCCTCTTGGGGCCTTTTGGGGGCCGCTCGGTGCCTCTTGGGAGCCTCTAGGGGGCCTCTTGGGACCTCCTAGCCGTTTTTGGGGCGTCTTGGGCGCGTCTTGGGCCGTCTCGAGGCCCTCCCTCTTGGGCTGTTTTGGAGCCCTCTTGGAGGCCTCTTGGGCCGTCTCGGGGCGATCTTTGGGGCCTCTTGGACCGTCTTGGGGCGTCGGGAAGCCGAACAGGCGAGAACTCGAAAATCCTTCAACAACCCATGGCACATCACAGATTGCGAAGGCCTTACGGCCAGTGCTGCCGACCCTGAAGGTGGACGTCGTCGACGACGGTGGCGGTGGCGGCGGCGACGACGACGACACTGACGTGGGCCCGAGTCTTCAGGGATACTTCCCGGGGTCTCTTGGGAAGGCTCTCGGGGGCCTCTGGGGAGGAATTTCGGGATCTCTCGCGAGCCTCTTGGGGGCCTCTTGGGGGCCTTTTCAGGCGTCGGGGGGGCCTCTTGTCGGCTTCTTGGAGCCTCTTGGGAAGCTCTTGGGGCCTCCTGGGAGCTTCTCGGGACCGAGGGCTCGAAATGTCCGTTCGGGTTCCCCGTCAAGGTGCGCTCTTGGAGCCGTCTTGATGGTTTCTGGGGCCGTCTTGGAGGCGTTTTGGGACGAATTGTGGTTCTCTTGGGATGTTTTGGAGCGCTCGTGGAAGCCTCTTGGGCCGTCTTGGCGCGATCTTGAGGGCCTCTTCGACCGTCTTGGAGATCCTCCTCCTCCTCCTCCGCCTCCTCCTCCTCCTCCTCCTTCTCCTCCTCCTCCTTCTCCTCCTCCTTGAGAAGGGGGCCCACGCCAGGAAACACCCTGCCTGCCTCCAGGGTCTCGGGCCGGGCGAGAGGGGGGGGGGATTGGGGACGGGGGGGGTGGCGAAGTCTGCTGCGTGCAACTGGCTTCGGCCCCACCGAGGGGCCCATGCCTCGATGCATGGCCGCCTCCGGCGCCGGGAGGCGCTGGGCTAATCAGCTACGTGAGCTGACTCTGAACCCCCCCCTTTGCGATCCCCCCTTGTCGACCGGCCCGAAGGGTGCCCTGTGTTTCTTGGGTTTCGATGGGTTTGCGATGGGAACCGTGACGTTCCCACACCAACGATCAAGGGACGCCCTGGGGTCTCAGGGTTGGGTTTCTTGTGGAAGGTTTCTCGTGGTTGGGCCCCTACTGTAGGTTCGCGTCGTGTCGACTTGCGGCGACCCCGCCGCCGGCGTTCACAGTTGAACGCCGCCGGCGACCCAGATTCGACCGATATGGAACGATCGGGCGATCGAGAGACCGCCGATCGTTCAGGGTCGAACGATCCACGCCGTCTCAGAAACCAACGCCAGGGTCGCCACGGCACGAACCTGCCGTCTTCGCACTGTGCGTGTGTGTGTGTGTGTGTGTGTGTGTGTGTGTGTGTGTGCGTCGGCCCCTCTCCGACCGCCTGAGGCCCCGCCCGCCTGTGCCCTGTCTCCCTAATTAGAGCTGTGCGTAGCCCGCCTAGCTCTTAACCGGAAGAGGCTCGCTCTCGACCCGCAGACCAAAAAAGTGCGTCGGCCACGCAAGGGCGACGCGCACGCTCGGAAGTCTTGCAGTATGAGCTCCTTGGCGGGCGCTCGCGGGCCACACCGCGCAGGAGACGGTGCGCTGCAGCGCCGGTGCGCCGGTGTGCGATCTGCTCTTGCTGCACGTGCGCCTCCAGCATCGGCACGCGGTGCTACGGTAGAGGGAAACAATTAATGAACACTCCCCCTCCCCCCCAACCTTAACGTTGGCATGCGCGGGGGGAACTGCGGTCGAAGCGCATCTCATCAGACCCACTGCCAACTTTGAACATTGTGGGGAGGGGGAGCCCTTGACAGATGAATGTGGCATCATGAGTGTTCGCTAATTTGTTCCGAGGCCTGTAGCACTAGGGGAGCGAAAAATGCTGGACCCTCCTCCCTGGCGCGCGGAGCGCGCCAGGGGCGGCGCTCCGGAGGCGCCGCCAGGGGGGGTCCAGCGCCGATCCAAGGAGAAATCCGCGCGGACCTCCGAGTTCTTATGTTTATGCCATTCTTCGTTCCCCTACGCATGTCTTCCTGCGTCCCACGAAAAGGCTTTCGAACAAGCCCGCATCAGAGAGCCGGCCCGCGCCGAGGCGGCGCCCGCGCTGGACTTCAGCGCGCTCCAGAGGGCGGGCTACGGCGCCGGCGACGAGGAGGCCTGGGCCTCCCACCCCCCGCTCTGCGGGGACGAGGCTCCTCCTCCTGCTCCTCCTCCTGAACCCATGAAGAGGGAACTTGGAGGCAGGGTTTATCGCAACATCGTTGATGGGTCCTTGGGTTTGCACTGGTCCTCCTCCTCCTCCTCCTCCTCCTCCTCCTCCTCCTCCTCCTCCTCCTCCTCAATCTCTTTTCCTATAGACAACTTCTCCCTGTCGCACCCCGAGGCGTGTTGGTAGGGCGGGGTCCTGTCTGTGTCAGTGTGGCCCCCGACTCCGCTGGACCTTCCACGAGCCCACGAAAGTGGTGACGAGTTTCGCAGTTCGCAGCCACCCAGCGAGCAGCGAAGTCCCGTCTGGGTCCGCGTGGCCCCCGACTCCGCTGGAACTCCCAGGAGCTCATGAAAGTGGCGACAGTTGCGCAGTTCGCAGCCACCCAGGGAGCAGCGCAGGAGGAGGAGGAGGAGGAGGAGGAGGAGGAGGAGGAGGAGGAGGAGGAGGAGGAGGAGGAGGAGGAGGAGGAGGAGGAGGAGGAGGCAGACGGCAGGAGGAGGGAGGAGGGAGGCAGGGAGGAAAAGGGAGGCGACAGGTGAAGAGAAAGGGACCGCAGTGCTCGATCCCAAACGAGAACCCAACACAGGAGGGCTGGGAAAAGTGCAGCGTCGCGCGCCAAATCGCCCTCGTCCTCGTAGTCGTCCTTCTACTCCTCGTCAGCCCCGAACCACAGCGGTGCAAGTCGCCGGCGCTGCCGCCGCAGAGCCGCCGAAGGGTCGCCGGGGGGCCGCCGAAGCAGAGCCGCCCAGGGGCTGCCGAAGGGCCGCCGAGTGCCCGCAGCGCGCGCGCCCCGCCTGGGCCAAGGCCCGCCCCTGTTCTGGCGAGCACCGCTCGGGAGGGCAGGCCGGCCTCCGCGGGCGCGCGCGGGCGGGCGCCTCACCTCACAATCTCGGGGATGGCGGGGACCCTTCCTCTCCTCCTCCTCCTCCTCCTCCTCCCTCCTCCTCCTCCTCCTCCTCCTCCTCCTCCTCCTCCTCCTCCTCCTCCTCCTCTCTCTCTCCCATCCCAGGGGGGGCGAGCCCCCGCGGAGTCCACGCATGCAAACAAAGTCCTGCTCGATGACGAACTCCCTGTGCGGGCCCACCGCCAGGCGCGCACTATGGACGTGGCCGAGATGGCGACGCCCTCCCAGCTGCGCCTCCACGCCCGCGATCTCGCCAGAGAGCCGCGGGGCGGCGGCCGACGGCCACAGCTGGCCGCAGCCGCAAGATGGCTGGCCTCAGCCTGCTCCCTCGGAGTGCGGCAGAGGCCCGCACGAGAGGAAGGAGCCCTCGACCAGCGCCCATTCAGTTTCCTCATCCTCCTGCGAGTTCGCCTCAGGGTACCTCTTAGGCGGGACGAGGAGGTCGAAGAGCTCGCAGTCTTGTGGCCACGGTTGAGTGCCACCACCACTCCTCCTCCTCCTCCTCCTCCTCCTCCTCCTCCTCCTCCCCTCCTCCTCCTCCCCTCCTCCTCCCCCCTCCTCCCTCCTCCTTCTCCTCTCGCCTCCTCCTCCTCTCTCCTCCTCCTCCTCCCATCCTCCTCCTCCCTTCTCCTCCTCTCCTTCTCCTCCTCCTCCTCCTCCTCCTCCTCCTCCTCCTACCTCCTCCTCCTCCTCCTTCTCCTCCTCCGCCTCCTCCTCCTCCTCCGCCTCATCCTTCCCCTCGGCGCACAGGGCGCCGCGGGCGGGCGCGCCACCCAACGGGAATGTAGCAACGCTCACCCGCAGCAGTGGTATCCTCTGGCAGCACTGCGGGTGACATTGCCCGTGCCCTCGCTTCCTGGGTTCGAGCCTCACGCCGACGGATGACTGCATATGCCCAACGGACGATCTTTCTGCGCCATTTTTCGAGCCAGATCGGCCCGGGGGCCCGAAACCAGGAGAAGATGCCGCCTGTGGAAGAATTTGCCACGCCAGGATCGCACGGTGCGATCCCGGGGGCTTCAGCAGGCTGCGCGTGCAGTTGTGCACGTGCTGGGCGCGCAAGGGGAGGGAGAGGAGGGAGGAAATGGAGCGAAGGATGAGAGGGAGAGGAGGGAAGAGGACTTGAGAACCGAAACGGCGGCTCTTTTTCTTTGTGCAAGGCTCCCATCGATTGTGCGGTCCTTCAGGGGAGCCTCAGACGGCCACCAAATTCTTGCGGTTTGGGGGATTTCGTCCGGACTTCTTCGTCGGATGTCGTCGTCAATTTGGACGAGTTTGGACTCAAAGGGGTGAAGAGGGGTGGCCGAAATCTGGACGACGTCCGGTCGTGACCACACGAGGGCCGCGGAGGTTCACAGAGGCTCCCCCGAAGGCCCTCCCAGCATCGAGCTGCCGCCCTGGCCTCCCCGCCTGCGGGGCCCCAACGTGTACACCACCACCGCCTCCCTCACCTCCTCCCTCTCCCAGGAACGAGGCGTGCCTCTGTACTAGAGGAATATTCAAGAATGGTCAAAAACTAGGCAGTTTTTTTCCCCATATCCTAAGGATTGGGGTTCTTGTTATTACTCTGACGCCTCCCACTGCTCCTCCTTCCTCCCGCTCGCGCCTCCCTCCTCCCAATGATAATCACCAGATAAGACAAGACAAGATAAGATACTACAAGATAAGATAAGACAGCACAATATATGGTAAGGTAAGATAAGATATATGACAATGTAGGATAATATATAATATAAGACAGCCCATTGAGTAATAAAATAAGACAAGATATGATGCGATAAGATGAGTTGATATACGATAAGCTAAGACAAGATAAGATATTTCAAGATAAGATAAGATAGAGGGTAATAAAGGTAAGATAAGATAGGACTCGATAAGATAAGAGGAGACTCACTCTCACTCAGACTCACTCACAGTCACATTCACTCACACTCACACTCTCTCATGATCACAAAACGCTGCCAGGGGCATCATTTGGGAGCCCCAAGGGGGAGCCACCCTGGCTGATCTCACGAGCCCGTTCGCGCCGATTTTGGTGGGACGTCTCAGCTAAAATTGCCGTTTGGCCTCCCCAACATGTCTCTCTTGAGAGCCTCATGGTCACAAAACGCTGCCAGGGGCATCATTTGGGAGCCCCAAGGGGGAGCCACCCTGGCTGATCTCACGAGCCCGTTCGCGCCGATTTTGGTGGGACGTCTCAGCTAGAATTGCCGTTTGGCCTCCCCAACATGTATCTCTTGAGAGCCTCATGGTCACAAAACGCTGCCAGGGCATCATTTGGGAGCCCCAAGGGGGAGCCACCCTGGCTGATCTCACGAGCCCGTTCGCGCCGATTTTGGTGGGACGTCTCAGCTAGAATTGCCGTTTGGCGCCCCCAACATGTATCTCTTGAGAGCCTCAGGGTCACAAAACGCTGCCAGGGGCATCATTTGGGAGCCCCAAGGGGGAGCCACCCTGGCTGATCTCACGAGCCCGTTCGCGCCGATTTTGGTGGGACGTCTCAGCTAGAATTGCCGTTTGGCGCCCCCAACATGTATCTCTTGAGAGCCTCATGGTCACAAAACGCTGCCAGGGGCATCATTTGGGAGCCCCAGGGGGGGTCCACCAGGGGCTTCATAGTCACCAAACGCTGCCAGGGGCAGCATTTTGGCTTCCCAAAGAGGAGTCGACCCGGGCCTCCTAGTCGCCAGACACTGCCAGGGGCACCATTGGGATTCAGACTCGCACCCAGACTCACTCATACACAAGCTCACTCACACTCAGATTCATTTCTTCAGAGTCAGGCACACACAGACGTACCCATACTCAGACCCACCCACACTCAGGCTCACCTAACCCAGACTCCGTCATAAGCCAGTAGCGAAGAGAGCAGAGAGGAGAGAGAGAGAGAGAGAGAGAAAGAGAGAGAGAGAGAGAGAAAGAGAGAGAGAGAGAGAGAGAGAGAGCGGGAGAGAGCGAGAGAGAGAGAGAGAGAGAGAGAGAGAGAGCGCGCGAGCGCGAGCGCGAGCGCGAGCGCGAGCGAGCGAGCGAGCGAGCGAGCGAGCGAGCGAGCGAGCGAGAGAGAGAGAGAGAGAGAGAGAGAGAGAGAGAGAGAGAGAGAGAGAGCGAGGAACGATATAGATTGTGAGAGGAATGAGAGATAGAGAGAGGAATGAGAGAAAGAGTAGTAGAAGATAGAGAGAGGCAAGAGCGAGATAGAGAGAGAGAGTGAGAGGAGAGAGAGAGAAGAGAGCGGAGAGAAGCAGAGAGAGAGGGAGGGGGAGTTGGAGAGAGGAGAACAGGCGAGAGAAAAGGAGAGGAGACGAGAGAAAGAGAGGTAGAAAGAGATAATAGAGAAGAGGAGAGAGAGAGGGTAGAGATAGAGAAGAGGAGAGAGGAAAGATAGATGGAGGGGAAGTGGAAGAAGGGGGGGGGGGGGAGAGAGATAGAGAAGAGAAGAGAGAGAAGAGAGAGAGAGAGAGAGAGAAAAGAGAAGAGAAGAGAAGCGAAGAGAAGAGAGAGATAGAGAGAGAGAGAAAAGAGAGAGAGAGCGAGAGACGAGAGACGAGAGAGAGAGAGAGAGAGAGAGCAGAGAGAGAGAGAGAGAGAGAGAGAGAGCGGGAGAGAGCGAGGGAGAGCGAGAGAGAGCGAGAGAGAGCGAGTGAGAGCGAGAGAGAGAGAGAGAGATAGAGCGAGAGAGAGCGACAGAGAGCGAGAGAGGGCAAGAGAGAGCGAGAGAGCGAAAGGGAGAGAGAGAGAGAGAGAGATAGAGAGAAGAGAGAGAGAGAGAGAGAGAGAGCGAGGGAAGAGAGAGAGAGAGAGAGAGAAAGAGAGAGAGAGAGAGAGAAGAGAAGATAAGATAAGAGAAGAGAAGAGAAGAGAGAGAGCGAGAGAGAGAGAGAGGGAGAGTGAGAGAGAGAGGAGAGAGCAGAGAGAGAATAGAGAGAAGAGAGAGAGGAGAGAGAGAGAGAGAGAGAGGCAGAGATAGAGGCAGAGAGAGAGAGGCACAGAGAGAGAGGCAGAGAGAGAGAGAGAGGCAGAGAGAGAGAGGCAGAGATAGAGGCAGAGAGAGAGAGGCAGGGGAAGAGAGGCAGAGACAGAGAGAGGGCAGAGAGAGAGAGAGAGACAGAGAGAGCAGAGAGAGAGAGAGGCAGCTCAGTCACACTTAAATCCAGATTCGTCCTCACCGAGTCCCACCACCAAGGGAGCGCCAGCAAGGAGATGCACATATGGGGATCCCCACGCAGTGAATATTTTTTTTGTTTTTCAAATCGTATTTTTGGGTATTCTTGGCGTGCTTTTTGACTCTTTCTTATTTTATTTGTTCGACCAGAATCCGCCTGCAGGGGGACAGGCCCGACCTCGGGGCAGAGGCGGGATGAGGCATCGACGTGGTGGTGGTGTCTGTTCTTGGGGCCCGCAGGCCGCCGCCTCCCTCCTCCTCCTTCTCCTCCTCCTCCTCCTCCTCCTCCTCCTCCTCCCTCCTCCCTCCTCCCTCCTCCCTCCTCCCTCCTCCCTCCTCCCTCCTCCCTCCTCCCTCCTCCTCCTCCCTTCTCCTCCTCCTCCTCCTCCTCCTCCTCCTCCGCCTCCCCGCCCCCCGAGGGCCCCCCCCCGCAGGCGGAGCGCTCCGCGGCCGAGGCGTCGCTCCGAGGCTCCTTCGCCGCGCTGGAGAAGGAGGCGCCCCTCGCGCGCCCCCCCGCGCCGGCAAGTGCAGGGGAGGCCAGTCCGCAGACGCCTGGGGCGGCACAGATGGGGGGTGGTGACTACAGAGCCGTTTTTAATACATGCTCCGCGTACGGATCATGTATTAAAAGTGCAGGGAAGCCCCACCCCGAGACCCCGGGACGTCCATGGACTTCTGGTGTGGGAGCCTCGGCCACGACCGGGCTCCCTAGCCAAGGTCTACAGGGAACAGGCCGAGTATCGCCGCCTGTTTTGGCCCAGACTGTTCCCTATTTCAGCGCCTTGACTGTGCAGCACCGTTTTTAATACATGCTCCGCGTGCGGATCATGTAGTAAAAATGCATGGATTTAGTATCAAAAGCAACGATGAGTTCATGCATAAACTTATTCATACATTCAGTATGTGTAAAAATCCTGTATGTTAAAAAATCCAATGTATGAAACACTGCCCTGTAGGGGGGGTGGATCTCATGGCGGTGGCCATGACATCTTCCCAGGATTCATGGCGCCTCTCCTTGTCTCAACACGCTCCCTGGCCCCCCCCCTCCCCCTGGGCCGCGCACATGCCTGTGCCCTCCCCTCTTGGACGCCCCCCTCTTGGCCGCCCCTGAAAACGGGGAAGCGCAAGACTCGAGTAAGCTGGACTTCGGGTTTGCCCAAGTTTTTTTGAGGAGTGCGTCTGGAGTCTGGACGGTCCCGTTTCCGTGGGACGCTTGCAGCGGGAGCTCGCGTCAAGTTTCAGAGTGGGTCTCGTCGTTTTCATGCCAGCCCCGTCGGGCCAACCCGAGTCTCCCGTACACGAGTCTTGCGTCTCGCCAACACTCGGGGGCGGAAAAGAGGGGGGTGATGACTAGGGGGGGTGGATATCATGGCGTGGGCCATGATATTTCCCCAGATTTCATGGCGCCTCTTCTTATTTCATTACGTCCCTGGCCCCCCCGCTGGGCCGCGCACGTGCCACTGGTCACGATTTGCACCCCTTTTCTTGGACCCCCCCCCTCCTGGCCGCTCCCGAAACACAGAACCCTGCCACGAGAAGCCCGACCCCGAGACCCCAGGGCGTCCATGGATTTCTGGTGTGGGAGCCTCGGCCACGACCGGGCTCCCCGGCCAGGATCTGCAGGGAGCGGGCCGAACGTCACCGCCCGTTTGGGCCCAGGCTGTTCCCTAGGTCGGCGCCTTGACCGTGCAGCGGAGGCCCCTTTCTCTGCCAATGAAACCTGTGCGCGTCCCGCGTAGCTCTCAGCGGAAGGGGTTCGCTCTCGCCCTGCAGATCAAAAAAAGTATATTGGAGGCCAGTCCACAAGAGGCCTACCACACGAAGCCCAACCCTGAGACCCCAGGGCGTCCATGGGTATTTATGGTGTGGGAGCGCCACGCCTTCCACAGCAGAGCCGTCGGAGTTGAAGAAGCCCAGGGCACCCTGGAGGCAAGTAAGGTATTTCTTGGCATGGGTCTCTACTGTAACCCGTGGGCGCCCTGGGATTGGCTTGATCACGGAGGTGTAGAATTGCCTTGATCACGGAGGTGTAGAATCATGCAGTGGAACAGCCGCCTTGGAAGTGTGTCGGGGGCGCAGAAAAGGTGGGAACAGTTGCAGCATCTAACGCATCCCCCCTCGGAAAAAAAACAACCAGGGAGGAGAGGGGGATGGTATCCCTCCCCGAAGGGAAGAGGAATTTTTGAAGAAGGACGATGAAATGAAGAACTCGTTAGACCACCGACGCCCATAGGGCTGGTGGGACTCATGCGCGACTTGTATGCCCTTGTCCGTCGTTAGGGGGCATCAGCGTGCGCTAACGCCTGGCAATCGATGAGAAATTGCCGATTTAGCATCGATGAGCGTCGGTCAACGTCGGTTCGCAGGAGCCAGCAAAATGACATGGGAGGCTCCCATGAGTTGCGACAGGAGCCTCATCTTCCCCGTCCCCCTGAGAGGGCGTGGCATTTTTTTGACACGGGGCGCTGTCGCCGCCTTTTTCTTCACGCCGGGCGTCTCATCGTCCCGTTTCGGGCCCTGGGGCCACGACACATCGATGCGGCTCGGAACATGCAGCAGAACAGGATGGGGTCTGGAGATCCGGTCGTGATCTTTCGCGATGTTGCGTGTTTCCTTGACGTCGGATCTCAGAGCCGCCCTCGCGGCTGAGACACCGCGGCCCCCCCCCAGGCCAACGGGAGCTCGCCTTTGCGTGGGTCCTGGGGGGGTCGTTCGAGGATGCCGCCACGGGCACTCTTGGGACCCTCTTGGGCCGTCTTGGGGCCCTCTTGGGATGTCTTGGTGCTGTCTGATGCCGTGCTGTGCTCCTCCCGGCCGTCTGGGGAGTCTTGGGCCTGTCCTAGGCGTAAATCGGGCGTGTCCCTCTACAGGAGGAATATTCAAAAACAGTAAAGAATGTCGATGTTTTTTTTTTTTTTTTTTTTTTGAGCATGTGTCGATTATTTTTTGACAGTTTCCTCTAGTTTTCGTTCAAAATCCGCCTGTAGGAGGACATGCCCGACCTGATCCTAGGGGCCTCTGAGAGTCCTCCCGGGCTGTCTTGGGGCCCTCTCGAGCTGTCCCGGGCCCCTGTTGTGGCCCTCTTGGGGCTGTCCTTGAGACCGTCTGGGGGGCTGCTTGGGCCCTCCCTCGGGTCTTTTGGCATTTCGTTGGCTCCTCTGGCGCCCGCTTGGCACCATCTTGAGGCGAGAGGCTCAGGAAGCGCAATCTATCCGTACCCATCGGTCGTTGAAGGTAGGTATTTCTGGATTCCCAGATTCCAATCTACTTTGAGCTCCTTCCCACTTCAAGGAACGAGTGGCTTCACCTTTTCCGTCATCCCAAGGGGGCGGGCGGAGACCCGATCTATTTCAAACGCCCTCCTGCTTCATGTTTCTACCTACTTCTTCCGACCGATGGGTAAGGGCTTCGCCCCCTGCCGCTGGCCCCCTGTTTATCAGACTGGGCTATATCGAAGTCGCGTCGGTGCGTCTCGGCGCTGCCTTGGCGCATCTGGGAGCATGATGCGGGGGCGGATAGGCATCATCAGCGCATATTCACGTCGGCGTTATCCGAGTGGCCTGCGGGCCCATCCCGCTACCGTGCCTGGGTTGTGGGTCTGAGGTCTCTTGTATATGTGTTGGGGTGTCGTGAGTAGCCTCTCGGGGGCCTCTTGGAGGCTATTTGGGCGCCTCTTGGGGGCCTCTTGGGGCCTCGTGGCCTCGTGAGGTATCTTTTGGGCCTCTCGGATGCCTTCTGGGTGCGTCTTGGGCGCCTCTTGGGGCCTCTTGGGGCCTCTGGCGGCCTCTTGGGGGCTCCTCGGGGCTGCTCGGGGCTTCTCGGAGCGCTTCTTGGGCAATCTTTGAGCCTTCTTGGGCCATCTTGGGGCCCTCTTGGTCGCGTCTTGGGAGCTTCTTGAGCTGTCTGAGGGTGTCTTGGGGCGGTCTTGGGAGCTTCTTGAGCTGCCTTGGAGCGTCGGGCAGCCGAACATGCGAGGAAGCCAACATCCTTCCAAAACCTTCGTAGAGTTTACAATTCTGACCTCTTGGGACTCTCTCGGGAGGCCTCTCGGAGCGCTCTTGGAGCCTCTTGGGGTCGTCTTGGGCTGTCTTGGAACAATCTTCGGGCGCCTTGGAGCACTCTTGGCCTCGGCAATGCACATTTAGCGTAATCTGCAAAAGTTTACGGTTTCGGGGACGCGAACATCGCGCAACTTATATGGGCTTGCCGCCTCGGGGACGCAGCAATTGTATAATTTGCGAAGGTTTATGGTTTCGGGAACGCGAAGAATGCACCGCAATTTGCGAGAGATTATGGCCTCATGGGCGCGAATCTCATGTATTTCGAATGTACCACGCCCCTCCCAGGAATTCAGGCAATGCGATTGGGGGGTGGTAAATTTCTGGTTGGGGGCTCCCCCCTTCGCGCGGACTTCAACATTTCACAGTAGGAAGCAGAAAGCAGGACTGTAACATTGGAGACTTGAAGCTGCAACTGGTGCAGGATGCAGTTACCTCACCCTGCAGCCTGGTGGCCCCACAAGGGGGCTGGCGGATTCAAATACCCAAGGCGTTCCGATGTTTTTTTTGAAATCTCTCTGGCCTGCCTGGACGGCCTTCAGGCCTTCTCTTTGTTATTCTGGTAGCCTCTCGTGCCCTCTTTGGCGCCTATGGAGTCTTCTTGGGGGCTGCTGGGTGCCTATTCAGGAAAAGGGCTGGCCATCTTGGCGGCCTGGGCCACCTTGCTGGGCTGCTTTGGACGCTTCTGAGAGCACTGGAGAGCCTCGTGGAAGCTTCGGGGCGCCCAAAAGAGCCTCGGGAGGCAGGGGGAGTACATGCGGCTGGGAGTGAGGAGGAGAGGAGGGGGGGACGTAGAGGCCCTACAGAAGCCATGGCAGACAGCACTTGGCATCCTACGGCGCCTCGACGTGCCACGGGGCACGGTTGCGGCTGTGTGTGTGTGTGTGTGTGTGTGATTGTGCAAGTGCAGGTGCACCCCTCGTGCAGGCGACCTCCTACCTTCCTGATCCTCATTGCACGCCTTGTCCCTTCCTCACTTCTGAAGAGCGGTCTACTCCTCCCTCTTTCTCGTCGGTGTTGTCTCTTCCCCTGCGCCAGGTGGAGGATAACAAGCCGAAGATGCCTACCCCCGAGAAGGCCAAGACGAGGATCCAGGAGGCCTACGACAAAGCAGGCTGTCACTGTCTTCTCTTCAGCGCCGGAGGCGCTCGGGAGCAGTCTGTGCGTGCGACAGCGCACCTGCAGACAGCTGGCTCTCGAGCCTGCCCCACTGCCACACCTCTGCACCCCTCCCGTCCTCTCTCCGTTCTTGCCATTGCAGTGGCTCCTCGCCCCTGCCGCTCTCTTTCGCTCTTTCCCCCCCTGCTTCCGCCCCATACACGCGCCTGCTCCTCCTCCTCCTCCTCCTCCTCCTCCTCCTCCGCCTCCTCCTCCTCCTCCTCCTCCTCCTCCTCCTCCTCCTCCTCCTCCTCCTCCTCCTCCTCTTGCTCCTCCTCTTGCTCACCTTCTTCCTTCTCCTCCTCCTGATCCTCCATCCTCCTCCATCCTTCTCCTCCATCCTTCTCCTCCTGCTCCACCTCCTCCTCCTCCTCTTCCTCCTCTTCCTACTCCCTCCTCCTCCTTCGCCTCCTCCTTCGTCCTCCTCCTCCTCCTCCTCCTCCTCCTCCTCCTCCCCATCCTCCTTCCTCCTCCTCCTCCTCCTCCTCCTCCTCCCGTCCTCCTCCCTCTCTCCTCCTCCTCCTCCTCCTCCTCCTCCTCCTCCTCCGCCTCCTCCTCCTCCTCTTCCTCCCGTCATCCTCCTTCGCCTCTCTCCTCGTCCTCCCTCCTCCCCTCCTCTCTCCTCCTACCTCCCCTCCTCCTCCTCGCCCCTCCTTCTCTCCGCCTCCTCCTCCTGCCTCCTCCTCCCTCCTCCTCCCTCCTCCTCCTCCTCCTCCTCCTCCTCCTCCTCCTCCTCCTCTTCCTCCCTCCTCCTCCTTCGCCTCCTCCTCGTCGTCGTCTTCCTCCTCCTCCTCCTCCTCCTCCTCCTCCTCCTCCATCTCTTCTCCCCTCATAGGCTGCGAGCTGCCCCCGGACTCGGTCGAGATCTTCGATGAGTCTGGCCGGCCTCAGCCGGAGCCGCGCCGCCGCCACCGCCCTGCCGCCTCTCTCGGATCTCTCAATTGCTGGGTGCTCCTGGAGGAGAAGGAGGGCGCACGGGGAGCTTCGGAGGCTTTCGACCGAAGAGGCGCAAAGACGAATTCAGGCGCGTGGATCAACGACGGGTCCTGTTCCCATGCGGAATCGGCGGGCTCCGTCGCCAGATGAGGCGCCTCGTGTCTCGGGGGGCAGTTTCCCCGATCCGTGGAGCCGATCCACGGATCCGTAGTGCATGCTAGCGCGCACCCGATTCAAGCCCCAGGGCTTGTGCCAGCGGATGCGCTTCGTTGACTTCTTCTTTCCTGCGTTTGATGTTGGTGCTGACGGCTCTGTCCAGCCTGCCTGGTGTTCTGCCGAAGCTGCTCGTCAAAGCCTCCCCGCTGCATCCAGACCTGGTGGTCGAGTGCTGGTGGGCCCGCTCGACTCGTGGAGACAGCGTCCACAAAGCGTGGTGGCCTACGTCTCGCTTGTCTCCTAGTGGCTCCTGGGCCTGTTCAAGAGCGACGCGTCTGGTCCCCCGACAAAAACTGCCATGTGATGCGAAGCCGTGCCAGAGACGAGCATGCGGAGGCAAAATCATGGACAAATTATGATAAGGCGTGCCCTCCCTCTCGACTCGTGGAACGGATTGCAGGCCGCCCGTTGATCCTGTTTTTGCAGTTCCACTCTTTTTTCCTGTGCCAAGCTCCGAGGTACCGATCTGCTTTTGGCGCCTTCCTACTTCAACAATCGACGGCCCTTCTTCTCGCCTTCCCCCTCTCAGGGGGTGGGCCGCACCCCAGTCTGCTGCAACCGCCTCCCTACTTCGTGCTCTACCTACTATTGCCGGACGGCCATCACAGCCTGGTGCTGGCCTGCATTCGTTTCCGGAAGGGCATGGGTCCTAGACCCCAGGGGTTTCTCCCCAGGACCAGTTCTTCTTTCCGAGTAGTTTTTGACGGCCCCAATCTCGTGAAGGGTCCCAGGGTTCCGAAAACGGCGAAATACCTTCCCCCCTACCTCCCTCCCTCCTTCTCTCTCTCCTTTCTTCCCTCCCTCCCTCCCTCCCTCCCTCCCTCCCTCCCTCTCTCCTGCTTATCCCTCCTCCTCCGTCCTCGCTCCTCCATCCTCCTCGTCCTATCTGTGGACAGGGAACCTCGTCCTATCGAAGACGCCTGCGCCGAATCACTGCCGCCCCCTGCCTTTCTCAGAGCGCCTCTGTGGCCAAGCGTTTGGGCCCAGAGTTTGAATAAGTTCTCGGACCAGGTGTTCCCCGAACCGCTGTGGAAATCTTTCGGAGGAGGAGGAGGAGCAAGAGGAGGAGGAGGAGGAGGAGAAGGAGGAGGAGGAGGAGGAGGAGGAGGAGGGAGAAGGGATGGAGAAGCAAGAAAAAGGAAGGAGGGAGGATGAGAGCTCTTGGAAGCCTCCAGGGTCACTCTTAGGAGCCTCGTGGGACCTCCTGGGAGCTTTCCGAATGCCTCTCGGAGGTCTCTTAGAGACCTCCTGGGGCTTCGTGGGGCACTTTTGGGAGCTTCTTGCGAGCTTCGTTGGCCGTGTTAGAGCGTTCCTGGCCTGTCGGGCGTTGTCGGAAGCCGTCTCGGAGGTCTCTCTGAACCATTGGGGCCCTCTTGGGGCGTTTCTGGGCCGTCTCGGAGGCCATCTTTGGCATTGGAGACCTCTTGGGACGTCTTGGAGCCCTCTTGAGGCTCTTTTGGGAGCCTCTGGGTTCTGTCATGGGGCCATCTTGGAGGCCTATTGGGTGATCTAGGGCCGATTTTGGGGGTCCGTTGGGCCGTCTCGGGAGGTCGAAAAGCAGAAAATCACGACAAACCGAACATGCCCAAATCTTGCAACATTGGCTTTTCGGAACTTCCAGGAAAACGTCTTGGAGGCCTCTCGGGCAATCTTGGAAGCCTCTTGGGCCCCTCTTGGGCCCTTGTAGGCCATCTTGAAGCCATCTTGGGCCGTCTTCTGTGCATCTGGGGGCCATCTTGGGATGTCTTGGCGCCATCTTGGCCGTCTTGGAGGCATCTTGGAGGCCATCTTGGGCCATCTCGGCCGTCTGGGAGGCCCCTTGGAAACCATTTTGGGATATCTTGGGCGAGACAGTCATCGACATGTACATTTTTTCCGGGTTGCCGGCGCGCTGTGCTGAAGCCTCAAGGGGAGTTCGTTTGGAAAAAAAGCCCAAACCAAGCCGTATAGGATTCAGCACGCCAGGCGCCCCTGTGGCAAGCCAACAGGGGGCGGCGGATCGAAGACGCCCACGGCGAATCACCGCCGCCCCCTGCCCCTCTGGAAGCGCCTCTGTGGCCGACAGCTGGGACAGAGCTTGGCCAAGCTATCGGGCCAGTTGTTCCCCGAGTCGGTTTGGAGAGACTTCGGGGAACGCATGGGGGAGCAAGAAGAGGAGGAGGGGGAGGATGAGGAAGAAAGAGGAGGAGGAGGAGTAGGAGGAGGAGGAGAAGTTGGAGGCGGAGGAGGAGGAGGAGGAGGAGGAGGAGGAGGAGGAGGAGGAGGAGGAGGAGGAAGACGAGGAGGAGGAAGACGAGGAGGAGGAGGAGGCCTCTTGGGCGCCTCTCGGGGCACTCTTGGGAGCTTCCTGGGGGCCTCTTGGAGGGTTTTTGGGGGCCTTTGGGGGCTTCCTTGGGGCCTGTCTGTGGCCGTCTGAGGGCGTTCCTGGCTTGTCTGACGCCGTCGGAAGCCGTCTTGGGGGCCTGTCTGGGTCGTCTTGGGGCCGTCTTGGGGCATATCAGGGAGGGGTTCTTAGAGGCCATCTTGGGCGTCTTGGAGGCCTCTTAGGCCGTTTTGGGGCCCTCGTGGGGCCGTCTTGGGTGCCTTTAGAGCCGTCATGGGGCCATCTTGGAGGCCTCTTGGGCGATCTTGGGGGCCTCTTGCGCCGTCTGGAGCCGTCGGAATGCCGAGAAGAAGCAAATGCCACAATCTTTCAAAAACCTGACGACCATTTTGGCCTCTTCGTGCCCTCCTGGAAGACCTCCTGGACGCCTTTTGGGCCGTCTTGGAGGCCTCTTGGGGACCTCTTGGGCCGTCTTGGGTCATTTTGAGGCCATCTTAGGCCGTCTTGGAGGCATTGAGGGGCCATCTTAGCCGTCTTGGAGGCCATTTTGGCCGCCTTGGAGGCCTCTTGGGGTCCTCTTTGGGCTGTCTTGGGGGCCTCTTGGGCCGTCATGGCTCCATCTTGGAGGCCTCGTGGGCGATCTTGGGGGCCTCTGGGGGCGTCTTAAGCCGTCGGAATGCCGAAAAGAAGCAAATGCTAATCTCCATCAAAAACATACGCGCAATCAATGATTTTGGCCTCTTCGGGCCCTCCTGGATGACCTTTTGGAGGCCTCTTGGACCGTCTTGGAGGCTTCTTGGGGGCCTCTTGGGTCGTCGTAGGCCATCTGGAGGCCATCTCAGGTCGTCTTGGGTGCATCTTGGGCCGTGTTGGAGGCATCTTGGGGCAATCTTAGCCGTCTTGGAGGCCATCTTGGGCGTCTTGGAGGCCTCTTGGGCCATCTTGGGGCCCTCTTGGGGCCATCTTGAGTGCCTCTTGGGCCGTCATGGGGCCATCTTGGAGGCCTCGTGGGCGATCTTGGGGCGATCTTGGGGGCCTCTTGGGCCGTCTCGGGCCGTCGGAAAGCCGAAAAGGCGCAAATGCCAAAATCCTTAAAACCAATTGAAATCAATGATTTTGGCCTCTTCGGGCCTTTCTGGAGGACCTCTCGGAGGCCTCTTGGGGGGCTCTTGGGGGCCTCTTGGGCCGTCTGGAATCATATTGAGGCTCTCTGAGGCCGTCTTGGAGGCATCTTGGGCCATCTTGGAGGCATCTTGGGGCCATCTGAGCCGTCTTAAAGGCCGTCTTGGCTGTCTTGGAGGCGTCTTGGAGACCATCTTGGGCCGTCGTGGAGCCGTCTGGAGCAGGAAAACCCTTTGCAACCACCTCTGGAGAAGCCGGGCAATCGTTCCGGGTGGCCGGCGGGACGGGCCGAAGCCCCAGGGGGAGTTTTTTCTGGAACAAGAACCAAAATCGAAAGGATCTAGCACGCCAGGCACCCCTGCGATGAATCGACAGTGGGCGGCGGATCGAAGACGCCTACGGCGAATCACCGCCGCCCCCTGCCTTTCTGGAGTCGCCTATGTGGCCGAACGGTGAGACCAGACCTGCCAAGCTATCGGACCATGTGTTCCCCGAATCGGTTTGGAAAGCCTTCGGGGAACACGTGGGCATCTTGAAGGTCATCTTGGCCGCCTGGAGGCCATTTTGACCCTTTCGGGCCTTCTTGGAGGCCGTCTTGGGCCTCTTGGGCGCGCTTTTGGGGGCACTTGGGCCGTCTCGAGCCGTCGGAAGGCAGAAAAAAAGCAAATGCTACAACCCTTCAAAAGCTCATGGGAAATCAATATTTTTTTGCCTTTTCGGGCCTTCCTGGAGGCCCTCTTGGAGACCTCTTGGGCCGTCTTAGGCCATCTAAGGGTCATCTTCGGCCGTCTTGGTGGGCCCCTGGCCCGTCCGACGCCGTCGAGCGCCGTTTGGGGGGCCTCTCTGAGCCGACTTGGGGCCCTCTTGGAATGCTCCAGGGCCGTCTTGGAGGCCATCTTGGGCGTCTTAAATTGCCTCCTGGGCCGTCTTGGGGGCCTCTTGGGGCCGTCTCGGGGGCCTCTAGGGCCGTTCTGGGGCCATCTTGGAGGCCTCTTGGGCGATCTTTGGGTGATCTTTGGGGGCTCTTGGGCCGCATCGGGCCGTCGGAAGGCCGAAACGAAGCAAATGTCAAAATCCTTCAAACATCAACGGACAATCAATGTTTTTGGCCTTTTCTGGCCTTCCTGGAGGCCTTCTCGGAGGCCTCTTTGGCCGTCTTGGGCTAGCTTCGAGCCAACTTCGGCCATCTTGGTGGGCTCCTGGCCCGTCTGACGCCGTCGGAAGCCGTTCGGGGAGCCTTTCTGGGCCGACTTGGGGCCTTCTTGGGGTGCTCCAGGGCCGTCTTAGAGGCCATCTTGGGCGTCTTGAAGGCCTCTTGGGTCGTCTTTGTGCCCTCTTGGGGCCGCCTTGGGGGCCTCTTGGGCGCTGTGGGGGCGATCTTGGGGGGCCTCTTGGGCCGTCTTGGGTCGACGGAGAGCCGAGCAAAAGCGAACGCCAAAATCCTTCAAAAACCTAAGGACAATCAATGATTTGGGCCTCTTCGGGCCCTCCTGGAGGACCTCTTGGAGGCCTCTTGGGCCGTGTTGGAGGCCTCTGGGGAGCCTCTTGGGTCGTCTTGTGCCGTCTTGGACTCTCTTGGGCCGTCTTGGACCATCTTGGGCGAACTTGGAGGCCATCTGGGAGCATCTTGGAGGCCATCTTGAGCCGTCTTGGAGGATTTTGTATGGATGCTGAGGTGGTTTACGCGGCCTTCCGGGACCCCGGCGGAACGGGCCGAAGCCCCAGGGGGAGTTCTTTTGGAAAAGAACCAAGCCCGATAGGATCTAGCACGCCAGGCACCCCTGCGATGAAAATCGACAGGGGGCGGCGGATCGAAGGCGCCTGCGGCGAATCACCTTTTTGGAAGCGCCTATGTAGCCGAACGTTGAGGCCAGACCTGCCAAGCTATCGGACCATGTGTTCCCCGAATCGGTTTGGAAAGCCTTCGGGGAACACGTGGGCATCTTGAAGTTCATCTTGGCCGTCTGGAGGCCATTTTGACCCTTTCGGGCCTTCTTGGAGGATCTTGGAGGGCTCTTGGGCCGTCTTGGAGGACATCTTGAGCGTCTTGGAGGCCTCTTGGGCCGTCTTGGGGGCCTCTTGGGGCCGTGTCTTGGGCCTCTTGGGCGATCTTTGGGGGCACTTGGGCCGTCTCGGGCCGTCGGAAGGCTGAAAAAAAAAACAAATGCCACAATGCCTCAAAAACCCATGGGAAATCAATGGTTTTGGCCTTTTCGGGCCTTCCTGGAGGCCCTCTTGGAGGCTTCTTAGGCCGTCTTGGGCCATCTTAGGGCCATGTTCGGCCGTCTTGGTGGGCTCCTGGTCCGTCTGACGCCGTCGGAAGCTGTTTGGGGGCCTCTATGGGCCGACTTGGGACCCTCTTGGAATGCTCCAGGGCCGTCCTGGAGGCCATCTTGGGCGTCTTAAATGGCCTCCTGGGCCGTCTTGGGGGCCTCTTGGGGCCGTCTTGGAGGCCTCTTGGGCCGTCTTGGGGCCCTCTTGGGGCCGTCTTGGAGGCTTCTTGGGCCGTCACGGGGCCCTCGTGGGGGGGCCTCTTGGGCGATCTTGGGGCGAACTTGGGAGCCTCTTGGGCCGTCTTGGGCCGTCGGAAAGCCGAAAAGGTGCAAATGTCAAAATTCTTCAAACACCTTAGGAAAATCAATGATTTTGGCCTCGTCGGGCCTTCCTGGAGGACCTCTTGGAGGCCTAGGCCTCTTGGGCCATCTTGGAGGCGTATTGGGGGCTTTTTGGGCCCATCTAAGGCCGTCTTGGGTGCATATTGGGCCGTCTTGGAGGCATCTTGGGGCCATCTGAGCCGTCTTGGAGAACACTTGGCCGTCTTGGAGGCATCTTGGAGGTCATCTTGGCCGTCTTGGAACCCATCTTGGGCGTTTTGGGGCCTCTTGGGCCGTCTTGGGGTCCTCTTGGGGCCGTCTTGGGGGTCCCTTGGGCCGTCACGGGGCCATCTTGGAGGCCTCTTGGGCGATCGTGGGGCGAACTTGGGGGCCTCTTGGGCCGTCTCGGGCCGTCGGAAAGCCGAAAAGGCGCAAATGCCAAAATCCTTCAAAAACCTAAGAACCGTCAATGATTTTGGCCTCTTCGAGCCTTCCTGGAGGACCTCTTGGAAGCCTCTGGGCCGTCTTGGAGGCATCTTGCGGGCCTTTTGGGCCGTCTTGAGGCCATCGGGGGCCGTCTTGGAGGCATCTTGGAGCCATCTGGGGGGCATCTTGGAGGCCATCGTGGCCATCTTGGAGGCATCTTGAGGGTCATGTTGGGCGATCTTGGAGGCCATCTTGCGTGGCCATCTTGGCGCCATCGTGAGCCATGATGGAGGATTTTTTCTGGATTGAGCGCCTTTCCGTGTGGCCAGCGGAAGGGCCGAAGCCCCAGGGGGGAGTTCTCTGGGAAAAAAAACCAAAACCAAAACGGATAGGATTCGGCACGCCAGGCACCCCTGCGATGAATCGACAGGGGGCGGCGGATCTCGTGGCCTTCCGCCCATCCCGCCACCGTGCCTGCGTTGTAGGGATGAAGCCGATTGGATGTTTGTTGGGATCTCGTGGGAGGCCTCTCGGGGTCCTCCCGGAGGCAGCTTTGAGGCCCCTTGGGGGGCCTCTTCGGAGCGCCCCCGGGGGCCTCTTCGGGGCAGTTTTGGGGCCTCTTGGGAGTCTCTTGGAGGCCTCTTGGGGGGCCTCTTGGGGGCTTTTGGGGGCCTCTTGGGGGCCTCTAGGGGCCTCTTGGGGCCTGTCGGAGGCCTCTTGGGGCCTCCTCAGGGCCCCCCGGGGCCGAGGGCTCGCAATGCCCGTTCGGGCCCCCCATCTGGGCCCCCATCCGGAGCTGTCTTTGGGGCCTCTCGGGCGCCTCTTGGCAGCATTGGCATCACACCCCTTTACACCACACCCCATTCCTACGTCCAGCGCCCGTCGGAGTTGCCGATTCGGGCCCCAGGACCGTCAAGAAGCGGCTGGTCTTGGGGGAGAGTCCTGGGAAGAGCTGGTCCAGAGGTGCGGTAGGGTCGTGTTGTGCCGCCGCGGCAGCGACTCCGTGTCGGGCGATCGAGGGTGAACGCCGCCCGTGGCCCGGAATCAGCCACTCTGGAACAATCTGGCGATCGGACAGCCGCCGCCTTCCTCCTCCGTGTCGCGCGCGTTTTATTGGTGCCTGTTTTTCATCATTGCTCGTGCTGCACGCTGTCTATGGGTGGCACGTATCACAAGCATATAGCATCAGGGGTACTCCGAGTTTCTTGATCAGCGTCGGGGGGGCGTCACCCCCGCCGACAGCCCCGCATCGACCCCCGTCGCGGGCAGCCACCGCGCGCCCAAGGCGCTCCGACCCCGGTCGCGGCGCGACGACGGGGCGAGATTGACCCCCGTCGGGGGGTACCCCCCCACACTTATGAAGAAACCCAGAGTAGCTTCAGCAAGCTCTGTCCGCCACGCGAAACGAATTCAAGGCCGAACGATCCACGCGGCGTCAGCAACCAGCGCCGAGGTCGTCACGACACTAGCACTGCCGCAGGCGCGGAGCCCATGGACAGAAACAAAAACCCTCTCTCGCGGCCTCCCCGCGCGGTGCCCTGGGAGGTGCCTTGGGAGGCCCGGGCAGGAGCCCTGGCTCACGTTCGACGAGTGCGAGGAGAAGCTGCACCCGCAGCTGGTCAAGGTGACGGGACTCAAGAATGTACACCACCGCCACGTCGATTCCTCCTCCCTCCTCTACCCCCATCTTCCTCTCCTCTTTCCCGGAAGAGGGAGGGGATGAGGGAGGTGGTGGTGCTGCATACCTTTGGGCCCCGTAGGTGATGCGGGACTCTGGCTTCAAGACACCCACGCCCATCCAGGCGCGCGCCGGCGCGCGCTTCGGTGACCTCTGGGCGTCCGATGGGGCCCGTTGGGGAGGAGGAGGAGGTGGCGGGAGGAAGATGATGATGATGAGGAGGAGGGATCCCAAGGATGATGATGATGCTGCTGATGATGATGATGATGCTGCTGCTGATGATGCTGATGATGCTGATGATGCTGATGATGCTGATGCTGCTGCTGCTGATGATGATGATGATGATGAGGAGGAGGAGGAGGAGAAGGAGGAGGAGGATCAGGAGGAGGACCACCCGTTCCGTTCGCATCAACGATGCTGCAATACGCCCACCCGTTCCAGGTCCCCTCCCTACAGGCCCCCGCAAGAGTTCCTTCTCGCCGCGGGAGGTGCCCACGCTGAAAGACGAGCGCGCCATGGTCCTGCAACGCAGGAGAGAGCCCCCCGCATTGAAGGGAGAAACCATCCTGGAGGCGGCGAGGAGGTTTGAACTAGCCTTAAGTCGGGCATGTCCCTCTACAGGAGGAATATCCAAAAATAGTCATAACATAATAAGAGAAGTTATTTTATTTATTTATTTATTTATTTATTTATTTATTTATTATTATTGTTATTATTACTATTATCGTTAGTTTTTTTTTTTTTTTTTTTTTTTTTTTGTTTTTTGTTTTTTTGTATGTTCGATTTTTTGACTTTTGCTGTTTCTTCCTAAATCTGCCTGTAGGAGGACATGCCCGACCCAAAGCCACCCTGGAGACGGCGAGAATGACCTCAACATCGGTCCCTGGGCCCCTCCCGTGGGGTCCAGCCGGTGCCGTTTCTCACTCTGGCGTTCATCACCGTCCCGGGGCCCGAGAACGGCCCCCGGAGGCCGAAAAGAAGGCAGAAAGCCTTCCCGATCTCAGGACCTCGACGCTGCCCGCCCCCTCGTGCTGGCGGGTGCCGGTGCGGGGCCACCTCAGGCCCCTCGCCGGCACCAGCAGCCGTCCGTGCTTCTGGCTACAGTGACGGCGACGAGTCAGGGTCATGGAGTTCAAAGGGGGAGTTTCACCCCGGAGGCCGAGAAAAAGGCAGAAAACCTTCCCGATCTCAGCACCTCGAAGCTGCCCGCCCGTCGTGCTGGCCAGTGCCAGTGCCGGGCCACCTGAGGCCCCTCGCCGGCACCAACAGCCATCCGTGCTTCTGGCTACAGTGACGGCGACGAGTCAAGGTCATGAAGTTCAAGGAGGAGGAGGAGGTTTTGGAGTTGGAGGAGGAGGAGGAGGAGGAGGAGGAGGAGGAGGAGGAGGAGGTTCTGGAGGAGGAGGAGGCGGGGGAGTTTGGCCCTGGCCAGCAGAGTTTCGGCCGCGCTTGCAGGACGGCCCTTTGCTCTGTTGCTGCACGCTCTGGGCGACATTTCTGCATTGGCCTGGTGCGTTGCCTCTCGCGCACGCTTGTCCGTGGAGTCTGCGTTCTGGATGGCCCTCCTGAGTGAAGTGCAGCGGATTCCTCCTCCTGCCTTGCCTGATCGCTGTGAGCAGTGGGGTCTCGAGAGGCGGACCTGAGAAAGAGCCATCCCCCTTCAGGGCACGTGCTATACAATTTCACACGTGTGGTCAGAAGACCAGGGGACGCCTCAAGCGAGAGCCCCGATTTTGAAACAGAGCCGCCATCTATCCGTCTAGCCATTGCACATTCTTAGAATAGGGATCAGACATTTCAGTACGTCTCGAGCAGCACTTCCACTCTGGAAAGGAGCCGCCCCCCATCGGGCGTAAGCGTCGTAAGCTTGAAAGACGAATGGGCGCGGCGCTAAGGCGAGAGCCCAATGCCTATCCAGAAACGATTCGCTAGGCGAGTTGCCCTGATCAGGGATGTGGAAGAGCATGCAGTGGAACAGCGGGCTGGGGAAACCGTCATACCCCAAGAAGGGGATGATGGAGGATGATTCGGAGGAGGAGGAGGAGGGGGAGGAGGAGGGAGGCGGATGATGATGCGTCTGCAGATGATGATTCTGATTATCATGTCGATGATAATGATTATGATGCTAGTGATGATGATGCTGACGATGATGATGCTGTTGCTGATGATGCTGATAATGATGCTGATGATGATGCCGATGATGATGTTTGCGATGATGATGATGATGATGACGATGATGATGCTGCTGATGACGATGATACTAATGCTGATAATGATACTGATGCTACTGATGATACTCAATGATGATGCTGCTGATGATGATGATGCTGATGGTGGTGGTGGTGGTGATGTTGGGGAGGGTGATGAAAGTCATGATGATAATGCTGATGTTGATGCTGATACTGATGCTGAATATGATGCTGCTGCTGATGATGATGTTGATGATGCTGATGCTGATGGTGATGATAATGGTGATGGTGATGGTGATGGTGATGATGATGCCGTTGTTGATGATGATTATTATAATGACAATGACACTGATAGCGATAATAATGATGATGCTGATGATGCTGATGATGCTGATGATGATGCTGATGGTGATGATGATGACGATGATGCTGAGGAGGATGATTGTGATGATAATGATGATGATGACGATGGCGATGCTGGTGCTGATATTGATGCTGCGACTGCTACTGCTGCTGATGCTGATGATGATGATAATGATGATGCTGATGATGGCGATGATGATGACGATGATGATGATGATGATGATGTTGATGTTGATGATGATGACAATTATGATGATGCTGCTGCTGCTGATGATGATGATGATGATGCTGCTGGTGCTGATGATGATGATGCTGATGATGATGATGATGCTGATGCTGATGATGGTGACGACGCAGCTGCCGGTGATGATGATCATGTTGCTGCTGCTGATGATGATGACGCTGACGATGACGATGATGACGTTGTGCTTCTGCTGATGACGACGGTGATGATGACGATGATGCTGATGATGCTGATGATGATGACGATGATGATGTGACGGCTGCTGCTGATGATGATGATGATGATGATGCTGATGGTGAGGATGCTGATGATGCCGATGATGCTGATCCTGCTGATTCTGATGCTGGTGATGCTGATGCTGCTGGTGATGCTGCTGATGATGAAGATGAAGCTCATGCTAGAGATGGTGATGATGCTATTGATGATGATGCTGATGATGATGATGATGATGATGATTTTGCTGATGCTGATGCTGATGCTGATGGTAAGGACGATGCTGCTGATGATGATGGTGATGATGCTGCTGATGATGATGCTGATGCTGCTGCTGATGATGCTGATGATGATGATGATGATGCTGATGCTGATGGTAAGGACGATGCTGCTGATGATGATGGTGATGATGCTGCTGATGATGATGCTGATGCTGCTGCTGATGATGATGCTGATGATGATGATGATTATGATGCTGATGCTGATGCTGATGCTGCTGCTGATGATGATGATGATTATGATGACGCTGATGCTGCTGATGCCGCTGATGATGATTATGATAGTTATGATGATGCTGCTGCTGATGATGATGATGCTGATGCTGATGATGATGATGATGATGATGATGATGATGATGATGATGATGATGATGCTGCCGCTGCTGCTGCTGCTGATGATGATGTTGATAATGGTGATGATATTGATGATGGTGATGATGATGACGGTGACGACGGAGGAGGATGAGGAGGATGCGGAGGAGGATGATGAGGATGAGGAGGGAAAGGGGGAGGAGGAGGAGGCGGAGGCGGAGGCGGAGGCGGAGGAGGAGGAGGAGGAGGTGGAGGAGGATGAGGAGGAGGAGGAGAGGAGGAGGGAGGAGGGAGGAGGGCGGAGGGCGGGGGGGAGGAGTGAGGAGGGGGAGGAGGAGGCAGGAATGGTGAGAGAGGAGGGAGGAGGGACGAGGGAGGAGAGAGGAGAGGAGGAGGGAGGAGAGGGGGATGAGAAAGGGGGAGGAGGAAGGGGGGAGGAGGAGGGGGGAGGGGGAGGGGGATGAGGAGGTGGAGGAGGAGGAGGAGGAGGAGGAGGAAGAGAAGGAGGAATAGGCGGATGCGGAGGCGGAGGCGGAGGAGGAGGAGGAGGATGATGAGGAGGAGGATGATGATGAGGAAGAGGAAGAGGGAGGAGGAGGGGAGGAGGAGGAGGAGGAGGAGGAGGAGGAGGGGAGGAGGAGAAGGCGGAGGCGGAGGCGGAGGAGGAGGCGGAGGCGGATGCGGAGGCGGAGGCGGAGGCTGACCCGGAAGCGGAGGCGGAGGCGGAGGCGGAGGCGGAGGAGGAGGAAGCGGAGGAGGAGGCGGAGGAGGAGGAGGCGGAGGAGGAGGAGGAGGAGGAGGAGGCGGAGGCGGAGGCGGAGGCGGAGGCGGAGGCGGAAGCGGAAGAGGAGGAGGAGGAGGAGGAGGAGGAGGAGGAGGAGGAAGAGGAGAAGGACGAGGAGGAGGAGGATGAGGAGGATACTGATGGTGATGAGGAGGAGGAGGGGGAAGAGGAGGAGGAGGAGGAGGACTAATATTAATATTACTAATAAGACGACGAATCATACTACGAAGAAGAATATCAATAATAATAAGGCGAACTCTAGTAGCAATAATAAGACTAATCATTATACTGGTAATAATAATAATGAGAAGACGCATGCTAACACGAATAATAAGCATATTATACTCAGATTCCTGAGATGACTAAACATGCCAATATTACTAATACCAAGAAGAATAGGAATCATACGAATAATACGATACGCATAAAAAGACGATCAATGCAACGACGAATCATTTTACGAATGCGACTAAGAAGAAGACACATACGAATACTAATAAGCATAATCGTAATCATCTCAATAAGAATACGACGAACACGACGTAGATGAATAGTTATAAGAAGAAGACGAATACGAAAACTACGAATAATAAGAATGACGATAATATTAATACTAGTAATACTACGACGGATTCTGAGTTAGACTAGTAAGAATAATAACAATAGTATCACTAAGAAGAATACGGCTAATACTAATAAGGGGAATACTAATGAGAAGAAAGAGCATGAGTACTAAGACTGCTGA